GATCCTGGTACCCGTCAGATAGACTGGGTGGGGCATCAGTGAATAATTACAATGACAATAGTCATAATAATAGTAACGACATTGGCGAAGCACAATAGGCTTTTATAATGCAGTAGACATCTGACACTAACAGGTACGAGGAAGTACGTGACATGTTATTTCCATGATCTTCGTAATAAATATCTGAGGTGAAAACGTGTTACATCACTGTTTCAAAGTTTCCTTCAAAACATTAAAAATGTGTTTACTAAAGTCCTGTACTGGTTACAGCACTTTTATCTCGAATACGAAGGAAAATGCAATATATACACATAAGCCACCAAATGAGCACCGTTTGAATAAACATGTAAACAAGAAATACTGAAATGTAATAGAAAGGAACCGGTAGACACAGTACACAAAAGAAACGGCACATAGAGGTCAGTTAAGTACACAAAGTAAAAGGCGGTTAGTATACATTAGCATCGGCATGTGTAAGATAACTAGAGCATACAAAGGAAGATGGAGGAAGGAGCAGATCAGAGTTCATGTCTCCGTTACTGAATCGGAGTGCCCCTCTATTTCTGGACTGACAAAAATATGCCATTGCGGTAAATTCTGTTTCAGGATGAAGTAACAGGCATTTCAGCAGCGAGCTATGTTTTATGGCCTAATCATTTAAATATTTAACATGTACTTTATGTTGATCTTTTTATTTCGGGTTGAACTGTCAGTTATCATCCTCACCTCATCAACAAAATATTAGTCTATTAAGATCTACATATATTTTAAAAGACACATATGTAGAATTAATATTTTCAATAAGTGAGGCTTTGATTAATGGAGTGGAAAGGCACAGAATGTTTCAACGAATAAACATATTTTCCTAGTGCGTTCTATGCTGTTTTCATACCGAAAATTAAAACCGGGACCTCTCTTATTTGAAGCAGGGATGCTAACCACTCATTCACAACGGTCGGTGTTAAATGTCACTGTCATTCACCCGATGTTCAACCTTCACGGTAACGTTGTCAGAGATTAATTACATAGCCATGTTATTTTTATGTTTCGTTATTATTTAATCTCTTTCCTTATTACCATTGTGAATATTTTGCTTCAGAATATTTATTTCTTCTGTCAAAGAAATATCACCAACATTCACAAACCGCTACAAAATTGAATCTGGCTACCGGTTCCTCAAAGACTTTTATACGACACATTAAATAAAGTGACTGAATTGCATTATAGGCTCATGTTAAACAATATCTGATTTGTTCTACTACGATCTTCTTGAAACGCCAAGTGCCAGAACATTCTAAGATGGCTGTCTCCTGAGTTGTTGCGCCGCGTGGTCTGGTAGAAGTTTACCGACATTTCAGAGGTCCTTGCCGCCTTGATGATGGAGGCAGCATGGACCTCTAAAACGTCGGTAAACATCTACCAGTACACAGGGCTCAAGAACCCATACGACTTCAGACTCACCTTCGTGAAAACCTCAAATCCTACCTAGCAGAACATTTATTGCTTAATCGGATATTAATATTCAGACTAAGTAAACAATGGAAAACACAAGATCTGAAGTGGTCAACGGATTCGGAGAGCCACAACAGGTTCTTTCTGAAGTTACCGAATAAGAAACGAAACAGCTGTTTAAGCTGAAGCAGACATCTGGCATTTGCTAAGCGTCAC